ATACACCATGCTATAGGGCAGGCTATGCCTAATATAAAATAACAAATAGCTTACATAAAGTTTAAATAGGTATACAAAACTGGAAATAAGTAAAAATGTATAATATATAACCAAATAAATAAGAAAGTAGAACGTTTAATAGCAAAACGAATAAGAAAGCTTGGAGGCACGGCATACACCTTGATGTCAAATAAAATAAATAAATGACACAAAGTTTAAATAAAGTAAAAATCAGCAAACAATGTGGAACCAATTAAATAAGAAACAAATGTTTAAAAAAAAACAGATATCAGATTAAAAAAAAATCAGATAAACGGCAAAAGTCAACAGGCTTTTCAAAATCCAAAATATTGGCGAGTGGCAAGAAGCAGAAGGCAACATCCTATCCTTTGCATCACCGCAGTCAGGACATTTCAGTGCTGTTGGGAAGACGCAACTATATGTGATGTGTGTAAAGGCTCTTCACTGTCATACTCTGGAGATTGTGAAGGAGTCTAAGTGGTTGGACTTTTTTGGGTCAGGCTCTTCACCCAAAGGTAGTTGGAGGACCTTGTATAGGGTTGTGATGGTGAGGAAATTTTCCCACTGGTTAATCGATGTGTGACAACACCGGTAATACCAGTATCACTGCAGGGGCGGGGGCGTTCCCTCTTTTCCTCGCTTTCCTTCGCTTTTAAATAGCTTAAAAGCACTGTGCGCATTTTACTTTCACTTTCGAATTAGTGGCAATTCGGCGTCAATTGCTTGAATGCAACAACAAAATACAACGTCAAACTCACTTTAGCGTATATATAAAACATAGAACTTTTATTAACAAAACAAATAAAAATACACCATGCTATAGGGCAGGCTATGCCTAATATAAAATAACAAATAGCTTACATAAAGTTTAAATAGGTATACAAAACTGGAAATAAGTAAAAATGTATAATATATAACCAAATAAATAAGAAAGTAGAACGTTTAATAGCAAAACGAATAAGAAAGCTTGGAGGCACGGCATACACCTTGATGTCAAATAAAATAAATAAATGACACAAAGTTTAAATAAAGTAAAAATCAGCAAACAATGTGGAACCAATTAAATAAGAAACAAATGTTTAAAAAAAAACAGATATCAGATTAAAAAAAAATCAGATAAACGGCAAAAGTCAACAGGCTTTTCAAAATCCAAAATATTGCCAAACAGGCGCTTTTGCATCTCGTTTCGAAACTAAATCATCCGCCATCGTCTTGTCTGTCTCCCCTCACTCTTCTCGTCGGTCAGCTCGCCTCACTCTTCTCGTCGGTCGGCTCGCTCGCCTCACTCTTCTCGTCGGTCGGCTCGCCTCACTCTTCTCGTCGGTCGGCTCGCCTCACTCTTCTCGTCGGTCGGCTCGCCTCACTCTTCTCGTCGGTCGGCTCGCCTCACTCTTCTCGTCGGTCGGCTCGCCTCACTCTTCTCGTCGGTCGGCTCGCCTCACTCTTCTCGTCGGTCGGCTCGCCTCACTCTTCTCGTCGGTCGGCTCGCCTCACTCTTCTCGTCGGTCGGCTCGCCTCACTCTTCTCGTCGGTCGGCTCGCCTCACTCTTCTCGTCGGTCGGCTCGCCTCACTCTTCTCGTCGGTCGGCTCGCCTCACTCTTCTCGTCGGTCGGCTCGCCTCACTCTTCTCGTCGGTCGGCTCGCCTCACTCTTCTCGTCGGTCGGCTCGCCTCACTCTTCTCGTCGGTCGGCTCGCCTCACTCTTCTCGTCGGTCGGCTCGCCTCACTCTTCTCGTCGGTCGGCTCGCCTCACTCTTCTCGTCGGTCGGCTCGCCTCACTCTTCTCGTCGGTCGGCTCGCCTCACTCTTCTCGTCGGTCGGCTCGCCTCACTCTTCTCGTCGGTCGGCTCGCCTCACTCTTCTCGTCGGTCGGCTCGCCTCACTCTTCTCGTCGGTCGGCTATCCTCACTCTTCTCGTCGGTCGTCTCGCCTCACTCTTCTCGTCGGTCGGCTCGCCTCACTCTTCTCGTCGGTCGGCTATCCTCACTCTTCTCGTCGGTCGTCTCGCCTCACTCTTCTCGTCGGTCGGCTCGCCTCACTCTTCTCGTCGGTCGGCTTGCCTCACTCTTCTCGTCAGTCGGCTGGACTCACTCTCCTCACTGGAGAAATGAAATCTGATCTGTGATGCGACTGTCGTTCGGCACGCTGCATTGAGCAGCCGCGTTCAGTGTTTAATTGTAGTGTCTGTTCTTTTACTGAACTAAATTATTTTTATTACTATAAAAAATCAAAACGACGGTGATGACGGTGACGTGGTGGGCAAGTGATGTAACCGTTGTTGTGGCTTAACACCGGTATCACCGTCAGCACTGTCTATCGCAGCAAGCCTAACCTTGTACAAACTCCCCATTGAGAAACGGTCTGAAGACCTGCAGTGGCGGATTGTGCATGGTATAATAGCTACGAACAGACACAGAGCACACATTGATCCACAGGTAGGGGAGGGTTGCCCTTTCTGTGGACAATCGGAAACAGTTTTTCATTTATTTTCTGAATGTGAAAGGCTTGTTTCTCTGTTTTGTTTTTTAGAAGAATGCTGCCGTGAATTAGGGGAGGTTTTTACTAACGTTTTCTTTACCTATGGTCCTAAATATAAACATTCCACAAGGGAGACCCATGTATTAGTGAATTTTGTTTTTGGCCAAGCAAAGTTGGCTATTTGGCTGTCACGGAAAAATAAGGTGTGGTGTGGTGAGCGAGCATGTGACTCTCTCTCTCTCTCTCGCTCTCTCGCTCTCTCTCTGTCAGGTGTAGTGAGCGAGCGAGTGACTCTCTCTCTCTCTCTCTCTCTCTCTCTGTCAGGTGTGGTGAGCGCGCGAGTGACTCTCTCTCTCTCTCTCTCTCTCTCTCTGTCAGGTGTGGTGAGCGCGCGAGTGACTCTCTCTCTCTCTCTCTCTCTCTCTCTGTCAGGTGTGGTGAGCGCGCGAGTGACTCTCTCTCTCTCTCTCTCTCTCTCTCTGTCAGGTGTGGTGAGCGCGCGAGTGACTCTCTCTCTCTCTCTCTCTCTCTCTCTGTCAGGTGTGGTGAGCGCGCGAGTGACTCTCTCTCTCTCTCTCTCTCTCTCTCTGTCAGGTGTGGTGAGCGCGCGAGTGACTCTCTCTCTCTCTCTCTCTCTCTCTCTGTCAGGTGTGGTGAGCGCGCGAGTGACTCTCTCTCTCTCTCTCTCTCTCTCTCTGTCAGGTGTGGTGAGCGCGCGAGTGACTCTCTCTCTCTCTCTCTCTCTCTCTCTGTCAGGTGTGGTGAGCGCGCGAGTGACTCTCTCTCTCTCTCTCTCTCTCTCTCTGTCAGGTGTGGTGAGCGCGCGAGTGACTCTCTCTCTCTCTCTCTCTCTCTCTCTGTCAGGTGTGGTGAGCGCGCGAGTGACTCTCTCTCTCTCTCTCTCTCTCTCTCTGTCAGGTGTGGTGAGCGCGCGAGTGACTCTCTCTCTCTCTCTCTCTCTCTCTCTGTCAGGTGTGGTGAGCGCGCGAGTGACTCTCTCTCTCTCTCTCTCTCTCTCTCTGTCAGGTGTGGTGAGCGCGCGAGTGACTCTCTCTCTCTCTCTCTCTCTCTCTCTGTCAGGTGTGGTGAGCGCGCGAGTGACTCTCTCTCTCTCTCTCTCTCTCTCTCTGTCAGGTGTGGTGAGCGCGCGAGTGACTCTCTCTCTCTCTCTCTCTCTCTCTCTGTCAGGTGTGGTGAGCGCGCGAGTGACTCTCTCTCTCTCTCTCTCTCTCTCTCTGTCAGGTGTGGTGAGCGCGCGAGTGACTCTCTCTCTCTCTCTCTCTCTCTCTCTGTCAGGTGTGGTGAGCGCGCGAGTGACTCTCTCTCTCTCTCTCTCTCTCTCTCTGTCAGGTGTGGTGAGCGCGCGAGTGACTCTCTCTCTCTCTCTCTCTCTCTCTCTGTCAGGTGTGGTGAGCGCGCGAGTGACTCTCTCTCTCTCTCTCTCTCTCTCTCTGTCAGGTGTGGTGAGCGCGCGAGTGACTCTCTCTCTCTCTCTCTCTCTCTCTCTGTCAGGTGTGGTGAGCGCGCGAGTGACTCTCTCTCTCTCTCTCTCTCTCTCTCTGTCAGGTGTGGTGAGCGCGCGAGTGACTCTCTCTCTCTCTCTCTCTCTCTCTCTGTCAGGTGTGGTGAGCGCGCGAGTGACTCTCTCTCTCTCTCTCTCTCTCTCTCTGTCAGGTGTGGTGAGCGCGCGAGTGACTCTCTCTCTCTCTCTCTCTCTCTCTCTGTCAGGTGTGGTGAGCGCGCGAGTGACTCTCTCTCTCTCTCTCTCTCTCTCTCTGTCAGGTGTGGTGAGCGCGCGAGTGACTCTCTCTCTCTCTCTCTCTCTCTCTCTGTCAGGTGTGGTGAGCGCGCGAGTGACTCTCTCTCTCTCTCTCTCTCTCTCTCTGTCAGGTGTGGTGAGCGCGCGAGTGACTCTCTCTCTCTCTCTCTCTCTCTCTCTGTCAGGTGTGGTGAGCGCGCGAGTGACTCTCTCTCTCTCTCTCTCTCTCTCTCTGTCAGGTGTGGTGAGCGCGCGAGTGACTCTCTCTCTCTCTCTCTCTCTCTCTCTGTCAGGTGTGGTGAGCGCGCGAGTGACTCTCTCTCTCTCTCTCTCTCTCTCTCTGTCAGGTGTGGTGAGCGCGCGAGTGACTCTCTCTCTCTCTCTCTCTCTCTCTCTGTCAGGTGTGGTGAGCGCGCGAGTGACTCTCTCTCTCTCTCTCTCTCTCTCTCTGTCAGGTGTGGTGAGCGCGCGAGTGACTCTCTCTCTCTCTCTCTCTCTCTCTCTGTCAGGTGTGGTGAGCGCGCGAGTGACTCTCTCTCTCTCTCTCTCTCTCTCTCTGTCAGGTGTGGTGAGCGCGCGAGTGACTCTCTCTCTCTCTCTCTCTCTCTCTCTGTCAGGTGTGGTGAGCGCGCGAGTGACTCTCTCTCTCTCTCTCTCTCTCTCTCTGTCAGGTGTAGTGAGCGCGCGAGTGTCTCTCTCTCTCTCTCTCTCTCTCTCTCACTCTCTCTCTCTCTGTGTCAGGTGTGGTGAGCGAGCGAGAGCGTCAGGATGCCGCTGGTCAAGCGCAGTATCGAGCCTCGTCACCTGTGTCACACAGCTCTGCCACACAGCATCAAGAACGAGCTGGAGTGTGTGACCAACATCTCTCTGGCCAACGTGATCCGTCAGCTGAGCAGCCTGAGTGAGTCCAGCTCTCCACAAACATGCTCTTCTGTCTCTCTAAATACACACTCAAGCACTTTAGATGTTGTACAGTGGCACATCTGCAATGCCCTACAATACTGTATCTGCTCACTGTACTCTGTACATTTGGATAAAACACATTTGTCCAGATCACATTTCAACCCAAAATTAAAAGGAATATCTTTATTAATATCTTTAAAACATCTTTATTTATTTATTATTAATATTTACGAACTGTATTATTTATCTCTCTCTACATATATAAGTTGTTCTTGTAGTTTAAATTGTAAAATATTTATTAATCATAGTAACATTTGTCTAAAGAAAAAGATAATTTATATTTTGCATAAAAATAATGTATACTTTTGATTATTTTATTTATATTATTAACTTTATTACTTTTTATATCATTATTTTTTATTATTCTTTATAGTATATACATAATATATTTGTATATTATATATAATAAATTATTATATATAAATATTTAATTGTTTATTTTTCTCATTTTTTAAAAATAATTTCTCTCTATATACATTTATTATACAAGTTGTTAACTTTGTAATCGTAAAATAATTATTCATCATGGTAATATTTGTTGAACTGCAAAAACCTAAAAAAAAAGAAAAACTATGATTACTTTATGATTTTATATTTATTATATATTTATATATACGATTACTTTATGATTTTATATTTATTTATTTTATATTGCGTACTTTATATATATGTACTGTATATTATATAAAGAAATAATTATATGTATTATTTAAAAATAATAATATTTAAGAATAATTTAAAAAAATTTAAAATAATAATTATTTTAAAATAATGTATTTTATTTATATATGCTGTTAACATTTTTTTTATAACTTTTTGTTTACAAAGTTTTATTATTTTATATAAGTTGCTAACTTATATTATGTATATGTATTCATCATTATTGAACTGCCTTAAATTGATGCTGATTTAAATAAAATCTAATTTTATTTCAGTAATAAGAATCACACAAGAGAATCATGAGAAGAACTAAAACTGAGGTTAATTCTCATGAAAATAAAGTATTTTTTCTTTTGTTTTGGGGTGTTTTGTGTGTGTTCAGGTAAATATGCGGAGGATTTGTTCGGCGAGCTCTTTAATGAAGCTCATTCTTTCTCATTTCGAGTGAATTCGCTTCAGGAGAGAGTCGACCGCCTGTCAATCAGCGTCACTCAACTCGACCCCAAAGAGGAGGAGTGTGAGTACAAACACTCACACACACCACACACACCACACACACTCACACAAACCACACACACACACTCACACACACCACACACACACACACACACCACACACACTCACACAAACCACACACACCACACACACTCACACACACACACACTCACACACACCACACACACACACACACAC